GGGGATGTGGGTGTCACTGTTTGCCCTGCAGACACGACGACAGGAAAAGACATCTCTGAAATCTCACCCTTGCTTTTCTCCTAGGATGACGGCGAGCTTGCTTCCCTCACTTACAGAAACAACATGAGAATGTATTTTTCTTGGTCCTGCCCGCCCTCACCTTTCCACGGGCTTTGCACCCCCTGAACTCTTCACTTTCCATGGCAGAAGCTTTGGAACTGGGCGACTCTGCTTGTGACTAAGGAACAGTCCTCCCTGCTCCATACACTCAGGTACCAGCAAGTCTGTGCTTGTTGGGCACTGGACCCTGGAGTTCCTATTTAAGTGGCAGCAGAAGTCCCCACCATCCCCAACAGGAGGCCCCGGCCTGAGTCAGTGATGGGCTGTGGGACTTGGACAGATCCCTCCTGCTGCCTGAGCCTCAGCCTCCTGACCTCCAAACCCAGGGTGAGTGGACCTGGGTCTGATCAGTGGTTTCCAGAGTGGGGCCCACAAAGCCCGCAGGAGAAGCCAATGGGCTAGCTGCAAAACCTGTACAGGGGGATCCTGCTGTTTTCCTCAAGTGGAGGACACCGGAGTCTGGCTCTGGGCTATGATTAGAGTGTCTTGTATTTATTAGCTCTGCATGCAAGCAGCAGATCAGAAGTTCATTGGGGCCATTATGTTTATGGAAAACATACAAGAACGCTAATTATTAATTGGTGAATATGGTTTGAAAAATGAAAGCTTTCAAAATAGTGGGCCCATGGAGGGAAGAGGGGAAATATCGGCGGTAATTGCAGAACGCTCCACCTTTTGCTTCTGCTGTCACAGGGCCTCCCGCTGATGCCGAGCCTCCTCCCTTCCTCCTGGGGGGACCGTAATACCCTAATACGGGGCCCACCTGGATGACCCAGGGCTAGCTACACATTTGAAGATGCTTAACTTCGTCACATCTGCAAAGCCCCTTTACCATTATAAGAGAACACATCCGTAGGTTTAGGGATTAGGATGTGGATGTCTTTGCGGGGCATAGAGGGTCTCCTGAGCTTTTTAAACAATGTGGTGGGCATGGCATGACCACAAAGAGGGCTTCCTTCTGTCATCTACCCATCCCGGACTCTGGTCTCACCATAGAGCCCACAAAAATAGACAAGGTATTGTCAGTGCTATTGGGGGTGATTGAAAAGGTTCTCTGGTGTACGTATCAGATACCACAGTGTCATTGGCAGGATGTAGTGGTTCTAGGAGTTTGCCCCATGAACCTGGCTGCAGGCCTTAGGACTCGCACAGAGCTAGAAAAATCCCTAAGGTTGCATGTAGTTGCTTTGGGAGTCTTTATGAGCCTCCACGGCTCATAATTATTTTGGACGGCAGCCACCGCAGAGAGTGGGAGAATATCTGTGCCTGGGCACGGCTGACTGAGTGAAGTAGTGTAGGATTCTAAGCAGGGGCGGACAGATTTGGCCAGCAGGGCAACCTTATTTATCGCGACTTATAGGAGCAGGCCCAGTCACACCACCAACATGAGCCTTCATGGTCCCCAGTCAAACCCCAGGATGTGCCATAGGCCCTCTTGGGAGTGACTACATGAGCCCGGGACCTGGGGCTGGCCTGTGGTTGCACTGGCTGAAGCTGTGGCTGCCTTGGCACGGGCGCCCTGGCAGGCAAATGCTGAGGCCACTTCAAAGAAGCACCTGTCCGGGTGCCGAGGGCAACTTTTCTGGGGCTCGAGCTGTGCCATTGTTTATTTCTGAAAGGTGCCCAGCTGTTGTGTTGATGATATTTATATCAGTAAGTGCTCTATTCATCTTCTGATTTCAGGGGATGCTTGCCAGCTGCATATGACAGCCAGCCTCCGGGAACATCTGAGCCTGATGCTTCTGCATTCAGAGAACCAATTCTCAAAGGCTGTACCAACATCTGGAGCTGAAAGATCATTCTCCCAGGACCCACCCTGAAAGGGTAAGCTATAGCCAATGACCTCGACCTTCACTTCTCTATGTGTCCCAAAGTGAGGCTCTTTGAAAATCCTCCTCTGTGCCTGAGCTTTGGTTTTGCAAGAGAGGGATGTTGGGAAAAGGGAATGGTAAGCCAGCTTTTGTGAGCTCTGTTTTGCTATGGGCTCACGGGGTAGCGATCACTCACTGTTTTACTTATTCAGGCAGAGGAACAGGGTGGTGATGCCTTCTGACTGTGGAACTACACAAGGGTCTTTGTTTTATGGAGGGCCACTTAATTTCATGGTCATCTCAGGTTCCAACCATCCGTTGTTTGGGCCCAGCCCTTGACGTCTTCCTTTTCTCTCTAACTTCCCATATTCAACCATCAGGATATGTTGTTGGGTCTACTTTTTATATCCAGAATCTACTCCTTTGCTGTCACCTTGGTTCAGGCCACCATCTCCTGTCACCCACCTTACTGCTGAAGCCCCTTCTTGGTCCCCTCTGTTTCCACTCCTAGCAGCCGCCCTTCCCCTCCCTGCACCAACAGTCCATTCTTAACACAGCAGCCACAGGGGTGCTTTTTAAAGAGTTGAATTACTTTTTTCAAGTCACTCCTCTCCTCAAAACCTGTCAATAGCTTCTCCAAGTAAAATCTGGAGTCCTTCCGTAAACCTTCCTTGTCCCCCACTCCCCGCCCAGGCCCTCCCTGGCCTGGTTCTGCTGCATCTCTGTGTCCCCTTCTGCTGCTGTCCCCACACTCACCCTGCTCCAGTCTCAGTGGCCTCTGAGCTGTCCCCCAAGTGGGCCAGGCCATGCCCACCACAAGGCCTTGGTGTGGGCCCCTCAGCCTGGGGCACCCTTCCCTGAGATGCTCACGTGACCTGTTCTCTCACACCTCCAAACCTGCATGCGCTCAGATGCGACCTCCACAGGCCCTGCCTGACCGCTCTGTACAGTTGTACCCTGCTCCCCAGACCAGCTTTCTGATATTCATCATGCTGTCCCCTCATTTTTCTTGTCCCGTGCACTTGTCACCTGCTAATGTGGAATTAAGGACACTACAGAGTGTGTGTTGTTTATTGTCTCCCTGCCTTAGATAGAAATTGCACAGGAGATGGGAGTTTTCTGTTCACTCTCCCTGTCTCGTTCCCTGATACCTTCCAGCACCTAGAATGGGCTCTGGTGAAGAGCAGACACTCAACAAGCAAGGCTGAACAAGCAGGCGGAATCTGCCTGGCCGTCTCCCACACGCACACCCCCCTGCTGCACGCAGTCTCACCTTCTGCAACCTGCTCCATCTGGACCAGCTGCAGCCCCAGATGCCTGAGTGCCCCAACTGACCCCTGGCCACCATCCCGGACTTGGCCTTCTCATTCACCTCCCACATCCCACAGGTCCTGAAACCTGGGCACTTTAACTCTGGCAGGGTTTTCACACCCAACCCCAAATCTCCTGCCTCCTGGTCAGCTCATCCCTGTATTTTCTGCACATGTGCAACACTCTCCACCCCACTTTCCTGGCTTCCAGGTTCTTCCTCCAGCTTTTCCTCCCCACCGGTCCCCAGCTGAGCTTTCTAACAGGAATCCCACCTCACCACTGGGCAACCTCTTCCATATTTCTCCTCCCCGTAGTGAGTGTTTTTGAACTGTGCTCCTAGGAACCCCAGGGTTCCACAAAGGTTCCCAGGACAGGTGATTCTCTGAGAGGCACAAGGAGGAGCCAAGAGAACAGGTGGGTGAAGCTCTAGATCTGCACCCCCCCACACCTGGGGCAGAAGTGAGACGGAAGCAAGATCTGTCAGCGCTTAGCAGGTCTTGGTAATACCTCCTTCATAAGCCCACACTTCATGTCGGGCTGACACAAAAACTTATTTGAAGAAAGAATCCTGTTGCGTATAAAATAAAAGTCTTAAAAAAAAAGACCCAACTTACCACGCTTGTTAGGGCGGCACGGCAGCCCTCCGCTACCTTCGTCACCACCCCTGCTGCTGACCACCCCAGGCCCAGCCACCCCGCACCGAGCCGTTCTGCAGACAAGCCTGCACGCATCCAGCCCACCCTGCCTCTGCCCCTGCTGTTCCCTCTGCTTGGAACGTCCTTTCCCAGCTACCTCATCCCCCACACACCGAGTCTCTGCTGCCTTCTTCAAGGCCAAAGTCACCTTCTTTTTGAAGCCTTCCCTTGCCCTGTGGGCAGAATTAATTGCTCCCTGTTCCCAGCCAGCACAGCACTTGGCTGCTGACCTCTATTACGGCGCTGCCACGCGGGATGGGGACCATGTGCTCATGTGTCTCCGCAGCTAGACTGTGAGCTCCTGGAGAGCTGAGACCAGAGCTCAGGGCCACTTTTGTGTTGTCCCCACACAAGGCCCGAGGTCACACGGAAGTACACCATGTTACTCTGAGTTTCCTTCAAGGCCGTGACAAGATTGCTTTCCAAAACCCTGAAGGACCATTCTCACCCCCTCTACCCAGGAATGGCTGCCCTGCCATGGGGACATGGGTTCTAGCAGCTGGCCCATGACACAGGTCATGTGTCATGAGTACAGGATATGCTGTAGGCACATGGTGCCTGGAGCTGTCAGACCCAGAGAGGCTAAGGCATGAAGCCTGCTGGGCATGGGGGTCACCCGTGAAGAAGCTGGGGTTTGGTTTGGCGGCAAAGGGTCCAAGGCTCAAGCCGCAGGCCCTGTCCACATGGGGTGCACTGTGGAGGGAGATTGTGGTAGGGGTGGCCAGGCCCTGGGATGTTCTGTGGGGCTGGAGACACTCAGAGCTGGGGTGGCAGTCTCCTCTGTGAGCTCTGCCTGGCTTGGAACATGAGTCTGGAGCGAGGGCCAGACAGAGTCCATGGCCAGGGGGCATCATTGCCGGGATGTGGAGAGCCCTGCAGTGTCAGGGCCTGCCGGGAGATGCCTGGCCTTTGCCAGAAGCTCCATGGCCTTGCCTGGGGCTCACAGCCTCAGGGCCCATCAGAGGGCAGCTCTCTGCTGGGTCTCAGGACTCTCCCTGCAGCTGTAGGCACAGCTGCCCCAATGCACCTGAGCGCCGAGGTCAGCGGCCGGGCCTTCGCCTACCTGGGCAGTGTCCAGCTCATTCAGCATCACCACGGAGGAGCAGTTGTAATCGAACACCAGCCTCCAGAAGTCCGCCACGGTGTTGGGGAGCGGGTGCTGCGTGACCACGAAGGCGGCGGGCTGCTTGTGGCTCTGACAAAGGAAAGACACAGACTTCGTAAAATGTCCATCTGTCAGCGGGGTTCTGATGTGGGTGAGGCCCCGAGCCTGACAAACAGACTGCAGAGAGCGCTGGCCCTTCTATTATCTCTGAGCGCCCTGGTGGCACAGGGCACCTTCTCATGATAAACTCATGCTCCTCCAAATGAAGACATTTCATTAGCAAAGTGTCACTCAGATGGGGATTATCCAAGTAAATTATTTGTGTCTTGGAGCTCAGCAAATAATCATCATTATAACATGAAAGATTCTGGATGCAGATTTGCCGCCCCGCTGGCCAAGGTTCCTCCTGAAATAAAAAGGGGTATCTTGTGTCCCTTTGCCCGTAATGCTGCAGGAGGGGCCGGCTCGGCCTGAGACAGAGCCTGCTGAGGGGCTTGTACGCGGGAGGCTTGCTCCTGCCCAAAGGCTGGAACGAGGGCTGAGCTGGCCCAGTGGGTGATGGGCACTGTGTCCTGTGAGCCAGTGGGGCAGCGAAAGGGGCCCGGGTTTTAGAGTCAGGCAGACTTGGTTTCAAACCCAGCTGTCCCACTGTACATTGTAAGTCATCCCTCCAGCCATTCATTCTTTTGTCCATCCATTCATCCAAGCACCATTCACAAAGGGACTTTTCCTTGGTGCTAAGCCCTGGCGAGTTATTAGATCTTTCCAGATCTCAGGTGCTTTATCTGGAAAATGGGAACCAGAACTCTAGGGTGATGACTGAATGAGATTCACATGTGAAAAGACCAGCAAGCAAGGACTGAGCTGTGAGCCCCTGTCAGGGCAGGCACCGCCTGGCTCCGTTCTTCATCCTCAGCATGCGCAAGGGCACACTCGATGCCCTGAGAAATAGTCCACATTTGCAACATGCTTTCTTGGGAGAGTTCCTGTTGGAGTCCTGGTATTTTCGGGTGAGTCAGAAGTCAGCAGGAAGATGGGGAGGGGAGAGGAGCTCACCCAGCCAAAAGACCCCGCCAAAGGGATTACGGAGAGCTCCCGTCTGTTAGGTGATCTCTCAGTGCACTTTGTGGCAGAAAAAAAATGCCTAGTATCTGTGGATGCTGCCTATGCACTAGGGGTCCTGTCTTCTAAGGGTCTTTTCCTGGCCAGTGGAATGGTCAGAGGAAGGTCTGGGAGGGCAAACTAATTTTTCCCAAAGCCAAACTCTAGCTGCCAACATCCACCTATGGCAAAGAATCCAAGCTTTCAGAGTTGAAAAAATTGGGGATCAGACTGTTGATGACATCGTTTCTCAGCGACTTGACCTTGAGATAGTGACGGAAATACCCTGGCAGCCAGTAGTCATCCGCAAAACGGGGATGATAATACAGCCAAATGCGGAACAAGGCAGTCTAAGTCCTGGGCCTGCCATGGTGCCCGACACTCAGAGAATGTTATTTTCTTCCCTATTCCCTGTCCCTGTGATAAATGCCCTATTAGGCCAGCATGCCTGACAAAGCCTTATCTGGAAATATGTTCCAGATCCGTGCTCCTGCCGGGTTTCAGGGATCAGCTAGCAATCCATTTCATGGATAACATCATCCTTTACCAGGGAAACATTAAAAATTAACCCAGAGGACTTCATATTTTTCTGCTGGGAGCCAAGCTACCATGGTTACCAGATAATGCACAGACTGAGCTGGAATACAGATAAGGATTTGTTTTTTGTAAGGAAGGCAAAGGCCCCAGTGAGGGCTCACTGGAGAAATGCCCTGTGGACAAGGAGAATCCTATCAGCCTCAGAGCTCCTCAGAAGGCGTGTGGCTCCAGGCAACGTCTCACCTACCAAGTGGAGGCCAGCAGCATGTTTGATCCTCGCCTGGATGAGGGAGGCAGGGACAGGGAGCTGTGGCAAGTGGAAGACAAAGCTAGGAAGGGCTCGCAAGTGTGGGTGCCCTGCCAGGTTCCACATGCACACATACATATCTATGCGCCTTGACCTTGGAATGCTCTAAGCTAAAGCCAGAGGTCTGCCCTCCAAGCCCAGCTATTTAATCTGACCAGACTCCCTGCTTGATGAGCCAGGGTTTCCAGGAAGGGCTTGGGCACCCCCAGGGCAGAGGTCAGGGCAGGTCCCCACAGAGCTGAGATAGATCTCTTGTCATCTCCCCACCTCCAACACCTCAGACCCTGGGGAAGAGAGTTTCAGAAGGCTCAGAGGTCAGAGGAGTAGTTGGTCTTGACCTCAAAAGAGAGTAGCTCACGTTCCTGCCTGTTCTGGGTGGAATGGGAGGCTCATGTGGGCTGGGTGGACATGACCTCAGGGGTGGTCGAGAAGGGGAACTAGAAGGGCTCATCCTCAATCAGGCGATGGTGTTCTCAATCCTGAGCACGGGAGGCAAGATGCCCGAGTCCTACAGGATCGAGTAAACCATGGGGAGACTCGGTGAATGCACTCTAGAGTGTGAGCTGGGCTCCTGGGTTCCGGTGTCCCCACCAGCTCCCTGGAAGACCTTCAGCTAGTCTCCTTCCCTTCTACAGCCTCAATTTCCCTTGCTGAAAAATACTAGGATGAGACGAGACAATTCCAGTTCTTTTCGGCTGCAAACATCTCTGCATCCCAGAAGTGTACGGACAAGAACCGGAAGTAGCTGGAGGACCCAGGGTAGAACCATCCAAGTCAGGAGCGTGAACCTACTGGGGCAGGGACATAAGCCCCTAATCCCAAACCAGGTCGGGCTGGGCAGCCAGTGCTGGGAAAGCAGGAGACAGTGCCCCTAACAGAATAATCATATTCCCTCCATGTTCCCTTTGCTGTCCCCACTGCATTTACTGAGCACCTACAAGGTGCCATCCTCATTCTTGCCTCTAATCTGCCTGGGAGCTCCTGGGGGCAGAACCTAGGTCTTCCCCACCTAGTGTTCCCAGGGCCCAACCAAGGCCTGGCACGTAGTGTTTCCCGAACAAAACTCCAGGCTGAGGGTCAGCTCTGTTGGCAGCCAGGGCAGGGACTAGGTAGCCTGTGGTCTTGTGGGAGCCACTTTAAAGTTTTGGTCAATTCTTTCCAGACTCTTTATGGGGGCAAAAGAGTCAAGAGCACAGCTAATACATAGGTTTGGACAAGGGCCTTCAGGGGGAACAAAGGTTCTTGGGGGCAGCAAGATCCAAAGCAAGGAGACAATGCCTGGCGAGAGTAGTCAGGGCCCTGGTGGGCTTAGCTTACGTACGTCCATCAGCGCTGCATTGATGTAGTTGCTGGATTCTCCGTCCACCGAGATGAGGAAGGGCAGGCAGCGGTCCAGAGGCAGGACATCCATGCTCCGGTTCTTATCGTGGTTCCGAGGCAGGAGCCCGATGCTGCAGTCCTCGGGCCGGACATGGGGTGTCACAATGTTGAGGGTCTGTGGGCGCAAAGGTGAACAGACAGACACAGCTCAGGTGCTTGCCCAGAACAGAAGGGCAGTGAGTGATGTTCAAACTCAGCCTACACTCCCTTCTCCATCCTCCAAGCTCGGACTTCCGGTGCCCTTCCCAGTACTGTTCCTCTTCTGCGGTGACGTTCCATCATCATCTGCTGGCCTTTCCAGGCCCCGTGAACTGAGAGCCTCTTCCAGGGACTGTGTGCCACCGCCCTGATGCCAAGGCTGCAGGGGACACATGCGCCCACACAGGCTCAGACACAGGCTCCCGACACCTGCCAGCACTGCATTAAAGGGCAGGCTAGTGGGGAGGGCTAGCCAGGCGGCTGTAAGGTTGGGGGCAGAGGTAGGGTATCTCTGATGAATGTTAAACTGTGATTGAATGCGGAAATGAGTTCCACCAGCATGCCTCTCAGACGAAGCTGAGAATGGAAAGATGCTTGGAGGGGCTGCTCAGGATGGGTGAGAGGCCCTGAGGGGCCAAACCCTGGTAGGTCTGGAGAATTTTAGAGCATGTGTGGGTTTGCTTGTCTCCACGGACAGCCTGGCCTGGAACTAAATATGCCCTCAGTTCAGAGACAGAGTGAGAGTTAAAACAAGTGGCAGCCTCCCTCCCTGAGTGACGGGCCCAGAGTGGCTTGTGGCTGTGCATTTTACGTTGTGGAGTTCACTCTACAGCGTCTACTGCTGCAGACTCTGGGAGGGCGTGGACATACCAGTTCTCCCCAGGAAAGCCCCCGGAGTGTGCTCCGTGCCCCCAAAGTCACTGAGCCGGGATGTGCTCCTACCTGAAACTCATCCTTGATTTGGCTGGAGTTGGTCTGGGGGTCCAGCCTGCTGATGTTGTAGTAGAGAGAGCGGAACTCACACACGGGGATGGCGGTGTTGCCGCAGAGGCACGCTTCCAGGATGGCGTCGTGCACGAACACGTACTGCTCCTGCAGCGCCAGGGGTGGAGGGGACAGGGCACTGGGTAAGAACAGCAGCCTGGGAGGTCGCTGTCCACATTGCCACCCTGTGGCTGTGAAGGATGGGCATGACTTACGCTGCAGAATAGCTCCTTCCTATCCTGTAACCGGAAGGGCCAAGTTTCCATGGCTTTTTTCAGTGACTGTCTGAGCCACAGGGAGTTTGGTCCCTCGTGTAAGATTGAACAGCACAGTCACAGGTAAAAAATCAGCACCTTGTGGACATGCTGCAGCAGGCACTCTTGGTGTCTTGCCCATGTCCCCTCAGCTGTCACCTTGACCTGCTCAAGGCTGCTTACACAGATATCTGGAATTCACATGGAGGCCTTTTCCCTAGTCCCAGTGGCACACCTGGGCTGAGTGCAGGGTGAGCCAGTAGAGCCCAGAGTTAAGGCCCCCAACAGGACTCGCCAGCAATGCCAGGTGAAGAGTTCGGGGACAAAGAACTAAGTCCCTCTCCCCCAGGGAGGACACTTGCGAGAGCATGTTCCACACTGTCGCGGAGCTCTCAGGACAGGACTCCAGGTGTCCACAGTGTCTAACAGCTCGTAAAACACTTAAGCAGAGTCAGAAAGCTTGGAGTCCTTCCTGTCACTCTCACCAAACAGCGTGTCTTGGGATCCTCTTCCTCGTCAACCACTTGCCCTCCACTGTTTTTCTCAGGGGCTGCTCCCCAAACATGCGACACAGGCACGCCCCCTGGGAACGGAGGAAGTGGCCTCCTGGCTTTAGGCCTCCCCGGAAGCCTGGAGACCAGCCAGTGGGAGCTGCCACAGGGCTGCAGCAGGGTCCCATGTGGCTAAGCGTGTAAGTGACTGGCTATGCCCATGGCCACAGGTAGTTTCCCTTTGCAGGGTTGACGATGAGCCCCAGCCCTGGCACCTGGAGCCTTCACCAGAACCAGAAGATGGGCTGGTTACAGGAGTGACACACGATGGCCTCAAGGGTAGGGCAGGCAGAGAGGCTGCCTGGTGAGGTGGTGCGGTGCAGGGGAAGGAGCCCAGGCCTGGAGGTCACGCGGACCCGAGCCCTAGCACTGCCTGGCTATGGTAGAGTCTGGGGACACAGGTGCTCGGTTCCTTCACCTGTAAAGTGGGGGCAGTAGCAGGATTTACCCCATGGAGTTGTCGTGAGGAGTAGAAACAATCCCCTGAATGCAAAGAACCTGTCATGATGCTGGGCACATAGTAGGTGTTCAGCAATAATGACGAAACCCTCCCAGTTCTTTCGGGTCCTGGGTCTCCAGCTGGATAGAAGGGTGCAGAAGGTTTACTTCTCCCTAAGGCAGGGGCTGTGTGTTCTCTCCCCTGGAATCCCCAGCACCTTGTTCAAGAACTCAGCAACTTCCCTGAGTAAGCCAGCCTGGCAGTGACTGAAGCAATGCTGAGCACAGGGCAGGCATTCAGTAAACGCCAGTCCTGCCCTAGTTCTCTTCTCCTTCACCCAAGGCAGGGCTATGATTCAAAGAATACCTGAACGCTCTCATCGAGTCCCTGCTTAGATGCCCTGGGAGACGGGGAACTCACCACCATTCCCAACTGGTTGGAGTCCCTGAGCTATGGCACCCCAGGGCTGGCAGGGGTGTCCCAGCTTCTATGGTGTCTTGCTCAATGCCATTTCTCCCACCCCCAGATCCTTTTCTGCAGGACGCCACCACTCATGGGCTCTACCAGGCTTCTACCAGGCTTCTCCTGGGCCAGGGCTGCCAGCGGTCGACCGGCTCAGTCCCCCAGGACCCACCTCTGTCTGCACCAGGTTGACCCTCTGGGCCCGGAGTTCACGAACGCAGTTGAAGATGTCCACCACCCCTTCGTTCTCAGCCATGTCGAGCATGGTGTCAATGGCAATGAAGCAGCCGGTTCTCCCGGCTCCAGCACTGGAAGAAAGGACAGTGGTCTGGGTGAGGGACTTGGGGCAGGAACATCCCTGGATAGGCCTCTGACATTCAGCCCTGTCCCCAGGGACCCTGCAAAGAGGTGACATGCTGCAGAGGTCAGACAGAATGGTCTGAACCTCAACGTTACTGGGAGACCCTAAGCAAATGGCTAAACTTAGAGTGCCAGGTCTCTCACTGCAGAATGGGAGAGCACTGTTTGTCTCTGGGGCTCTTCCACCAGGGTTGGCCTATTTTTGTTGCCTGCATTTGGCAAACTCTTACCCAGCACTTACCAAGCACCAGACATTGTTCTAGGTGCTTCACCAGTGTTATCCACTGTTTCTCTGATGAGGTTGTTAGGAAGTTTCTCACCCCATTTCACAGGTGGGAAAACTGAGGCACAGGGCGCTTCCCTTGCATGAGAGCCCACGGCTGGCAAGTGGTGCAGCTGGGACTTTACCCCAGGCAGGCTGGCTCCAGGGTCTGTGCTCTCACTCTCCTGGTCGTAATAACAGTCGTAGTGCATACACATGCTTATGCAACATGTATGTGCACAGTGTCCTCATTTGCTGACTAAAGATGACCCACCTGGAAGGTACCTAGGACACTGGAGATGCCTAAAAATATGTCAGCCACTTCCTTCCCTCGCTCTTTTATCTTCTTCAGCAAATGGGTTGATAGATGGAAGCAAGGAAGGAGAGTTGGGAGAAATCAGAGAGCAGGGAGTGAGGGTAGAAACCAGCTCTTCTGAGTGGCCCCAAAAGCAGAGCATGAGTCCCAAGTCCCATGTCCCCACCCTGGGTTTGGCTCCGTCTGCACCAGCTCTCCCAGGGCCATGGAGCAGGAGCACCCATGAACTCAAGCAGCTGCCAGACCCTGGTCTGGGGTTAAGTCTCCTGGTTCAGACTTGATTCTGATGGCCGAGGGCTTCCTTCAGGAGATCTCAGACCAAGTTCAAAATGACAAACAAACAAACAAACAAAACCTCAAGAGGACCCCATGGACCTCCTAGATCAGGGCTGAGCTCCAAACCCGCAGGCCATGACTGTGTTTTTCTTAAATGCATGTGGTTCTGGGAATGAAGGCCCGGCTGTCAGGGAGGCCACTCAGCCGCGTTTCTGTCTTATTTCTCACATGGAGATGAGTGTCTTTGACTCACACCATGTAAATGAAAGGAACACAAAGGAAGAATGATGGAACCATAAGGAAAGCGATTCTGGCTGACCATGAGTCCAAGGCGGACAGGCCAGTGGGCGCTGTCACCAACAATGATCTGCAAAGCAGACCCCTGGGAACCCACCCCCAGTGGTCTGGGAAGTAACCTGTGGGAAGCAGAGTCTTCACGTACGGCAACATTTCCTGGTTTGAAGGAAGTCTGCGTTGTACTTGCCCAAGTGCACTTCATCCCCAGCAGTCCAGACTCCCATAAGGGACTCAGCAGGCTGGGTCTTAGGGGCCTAAAAGTCACCCCACCTGTGCCTTCTCCCCAGTCTCATCACTGATCTGTTTTAGGGGAAAGAACTTTAGTTTGAATCTTGGATCCCTCACCTGGTGTCCACAAACCTCTGTTTTCTTCCGCATACATCATACCTCCCTGCAGCACTCAGAGGACTGAGCTGTTTATTTCAGCATCTCATACCAATTAAGCTCATGCTCTCTGGGGCCAGACCTCCTGGGATCAAACTCTTGTTCTACCGCTTACTGGCTACGTGACCCCCTTGGGTAAATGACTCACCTGCTTCGGGTTTCAATACCCTCACCCATCAAATGAAGCGGATAAACAATAAATAGACCCACCAGGTAGCATCGATAGCACAATGCATGTAAACTGCATAAAATTATGTGGAAAAAGCATAATGCATGTAAATTGCTTTGCCCAGTGCCTGGCTACATAGCAATTTCTCAATAAACGAATGCAACTGATGCTCAACAATTACCGTATTTTTTAGATTATAAGATGTACTCCCCCCAACCTATTTGGGAGGAATATTGGTTGTTAGTGCTGCTGTTGAGTTCTGTTTACATTTACATTGGTGAAATATTATGTTATGTTATTAAATATTGTACCACGCTTTTTGCTTCAACAATTTTTTCCCTATTTTCCTCCTCTAAAACCTGGGTGCATCTTATGGTCCAAAAATATGGTATTTACTGGGCACCTCTTAGGCACTGGATGGTGGGGTTGGGACTGGGGATGCGAAGGTGGGTAGGGCCTGGTTCCTGTCCTGAGGGGTTGGCAGTCCAGAGTGGGGGACAGCGTTAGAAGGCAGAGTACTGTGATATTTTTAAGTGCTTACGTATGCCCAGAATTCCCTTAGGCACCCAGCGTATGTTAGCTAACCCATTTCGTCTTCAGAAGAGCCCCGGGATTGGGTGCCAGTCTGCTCAGGTGCACTGAGGTGACTTCCTACAGAGATGAGACATGGAGGCATCGTGCAAGGAAGGACTGCTCACTGTTTGCCATGGTCTCCCTCTTCCCCTTCCTCTGCTCCGGCTGCTTTTTGGGGCACGAGACTTGGAGGCTAACCTTCTATTGTCCTTGGATTGTAAAGAGATGGAAAGCAGAGAATAGACGCGAAACTCTTAGAGAGCCCAGGGGGTATGAGAGTGTGACCTCCTAGTCCTCAATCGCCTGGCCGTCTGTGAAACGGGATTTCTGATCCCCACCTCCGGGTTGCGGGGAGGGAAAGTAGATGCCGCATGAGAAAAGGAGGGTTCTGACACTGCGCACTCAGTTTATGGAGCCTCTCTGTGACTTGACTCAAGACCTCGACAGACCAGGCTCTGATGGGGCAGGGATAAGTAAGACAAACTGCACGCAGGGTCTGGAGGACGGGCTGGCCCAGTCACCTTGAAAAGGAGTCCGTGGGAAGGTAGGTGGGTGGGTGGGTGGGTGGGGCCATGGGGCAGGCTCGCCGGCCTTCAGGTCTGGACATCCGCCCTCCTCCAATCCTTTATGCCCTTGACGGGATACTTCATGTCCATTAGGGATGGTTAAAAGCCTCCCAGTGCAGCTTTCCAGGTCAGAGCTGAAAATACCTGTTCTCCACCGTAAGGGGGAACCTGACACTGCCCATCTACTGTCTGATAGGGACCCTGCAGGCCAGCAACTGATTTTTAACATAACAGACGTGAAGAGAAGCCCCTTCCACAGTGGCTGCCCACTGCCACATCCAGGAGCTGAGTGCGAGCATCCGGAGGGAAGCACATTAGATATCCCCGCCCTTCCACTGCACACTGTGTGACCCGAGCAAGGTGTCTGCCTGCTCAGCACCTCAGTGTCCATACTTGTCCAATGACTGCTGAGGCCACGCCTACTGTTCTTGTTAGACCACAGCAGAAATCACTGGGCGCTGAGGACACAGACAGGGGAGTCTTTAAGGCAAAGAATAAAGGCCACTGGATAAGATGGCATCTCCCTCCTTGGTAGAGCAGAGCTGCAGAGGGTCCCTTTTAGAGCTGGTCAGTGGTGGGGGTGGGAAGGGGACTTTCACTTACCTGCAGTGGACCACGATGGGCCCAGCTTCAGGAGGGTTGAGGAACTTGACCTGGCGGACAAAGCCCAGGAGGCCAGTGGCATAGCAGGGGACGCCGTGGTCGGGCCAGCTGGTGAAGTGGAAGAGGCGGAGCTCCCGGATCTCATGGTAGCCTTTCTGAAGAGAGAACGGGCCCCTGTTCCTCCAGCTGCTGCCCCCACACACCCTGTCCAGCACCCGTGGGAAGCTAGGGCTGCGGTGCTGAGGAACCAGCCTCCCTGCTGCCGGGAGGTCAGGCCCTCAGAGGGTTCCTGGGCGCTGCTGCACAGAGGGACTCTGGGATCTGTTACGTCTGGGAACTTGGGAAGCAGAGCCAGTGAAAGTGACTGCGTGACTGCAGGGCTTGTCAGAGCCTTCAGTGTGCTAATAATGCACAGCTGCATCTCCTCTTTATGGACGAGGAAGTTGAGACTGAGCAAAGTTAAGTAACAGGCCCAAGGTCACACGACTAGGAAGTTGTGACGTTACAATCTGAACCCTGGCTGCCGGTCCCCCCGGTCTGAACTCCTAAGCGTCAGGATATACCACTGCCTGAACATCCTGGTTGAAGAGAGGGAGGGCTTCCTAGGCAGAGAGGCAGCGCAGGCAGAGCACGGGGTGGGACCTTGCACCAAACGTGTGCAGAATCACAAACAGCCCAGGGCAACTCCAGAGCGAATGGAAGACGGACAAGGGCGGACAGCAGGATTGGGGTGGGCGACTGAGTGGGTGCTGGATCCTGAAAGGCCTGGAATTCCACCTTCAGGCCTTTTGGACTTGTCCCAGAGGCAGTGACTGAAAGTGACAGAGAGGCTGCCCAGAGGGCTGCACAGAAGGGGCAGTATGTCAGATTTGCATTGTAGAAGGGTCACGCCAGATACCATGTGGAGGAGGGATTTGGCTGGGTGTACTGGGGGGCTGTGCTGAGAGCACCACTGATGGCCACCCAGCCCCCTTCCTGGGCCAGCCCCCCTGCTGCCCGCCCCAGCTACTCTGACCCTTGGCTGCAGACGGCTCAGAATTACTCCTTATTCAAAGAATTGCTCTCAGCCCTGAAGCAGCCACCTTTCCTGGGCTGGGAGCCAAGAGTGGGACCAGGATGAGGCTGGTTCCCAGCTGAGACCGACACCTTGCTCAGATCCTTCTGCCTGCCCTGTCCTGCCTCCCTCCGTCCCCTCCTCCTCACAGTGACACACCATCAAGGGGATCCGAATCCTGGTCTCAGGCTCTGCTTCTTGGAAACTCAAACTGAGACGGGGCAAGGCCAGAGGCAGGAAGCCCCATTAGGAGGCTGCTGCAGGGCCCAGGAGGGCCCAGCTGGGAGTGAACAAAGGCCTGAGTGAAGGCACCACCGGTCAAGCTGAAGTAGGAAAAGAGAAAACAGCTTCAGGAATACTTGGGGGGTTTTCACTCTATCCTCTGAATCAGCTCAGCCCCGGGAAGCCCTCGTCTGCGCCCTGACCAGCCTGCGCTGTGACTATGTCTCCCTGATGGACTGTGTTCTCTTCAAGGGCAGACACTGCTTCCTGTTGATTTCTGGGTCCCCAGCTCAGGAACCGACTTTGAGACAACAACCCAGGCAGTGCTCGCTGGGCTCCTGCCTGAATGCAGTGCAGAGCCTGGGCACGTCGAGAGAACCCCAAGGCCTGTGTCTTCCTAGGGGCAGTACGGTCCCTTGCGATTGAAAGAAAAACAAAAAGACAATCTAAGAAAGGACTCCACCTGCTGGGCTGCCTGCCATTCCCCAAGGCCTCCCTGCCTAGGGTCTGGGGCCAAGATGGGCCGTCATGTCCCCAGTCACCGTGTGGTAGATGAGATGGGTGCCCCACCCAGGTCCTCTCTGGGTGCTGTGCTCTGGGTCTCAGCTGCAGGAATGTGGGCTGCTAGTGATTCACAGGTACCCCCTTTCTGGAGAAGTACCCTCAGTTGACAGGAGCCAGCTCACCCTGACGGTAACCCCTCAGTGCCCAACTGAGGCAAGGGGTCAACTCTATGGTGTGGTTTATGCTCTGAGGCCCCTGTGAATCAGGCCAAGGCTAGACTTCCCCTTCTCTCTTCTGCTTCCCTTCCTCTCTTCCAAATTTCTCTCTTTAGCGGTCCCTTGATAAACCTCGTGCATCTGAATTCCTGTCTCTGGCTCTGCTTCTAAGGAAACTGACCTAAGACCACATCAATGTAGCTGTGGTCCTCCATCCAGTGGGGGCGCTGCAGGGAGCAAACAGTAGGTCCAGCACACAACTACGCCCTTGTCAAATCCCGAGGGTGCAGTTCTCAAAGCACTGAAGTCCCCAGTGCTCTGCATCCTCAGGCCTGTGGCCACTGGGTCTGTGAACACTGTTGCTTTTAGAAAGTGGTGACTGGGGTGGAGTGGAAGTGACAATGAACTTCCAGCCAGGGGCTCACCATGTGTAAATCCTTCTCCAGCCACCTTGGAGCTGGGTGGCTCTGGACAACTGACTTAAATGCTCTGTGCCTAATTTTTTCATCTATAAAATGAAAGTAATAATAGTATCTACCTCAAGGGATTGTTAGGAGGATTAAATGAGTTAATTTATGCAAAGCACCTGGTTTAGTAAATAAATGTTAGCTATCATTCTAATAGTAATGATACAGTAACAATGGCTCTATAATAATAAAGTTATAAGGATGAGAATAATAATTTGCAGATCACATTCTTGCTCTTGAGCTCCTGCCGCCTGGCCTCCTCCTCTCAGTGCCTAGAGCAGCGTTTCCCGGTTCCGACACTGTTGACATTTTGGACTGGATGGTTCTTCATTGCCGGTGTACCTCGGAGAAGCACCTCTCCTTCCTCTGTTTTGACAACTAAAAATTGCCAAAGGTCTCCTGAGGGACAAAATTACTCTGAGTTGAGACCCACAGGCCTAGAACATGCTGAAAAAATTTCCTTTTCGTTGTTTGTCTAAATGCCTCCACCTCCAGGGTGCCCTCTCTGCTCACCTCTTATCTCCACTTGTGGCATGTTTCTTTTTTGGCTTTAATCATCACAGGTAATTATGCCATTTATTTGTTGAATTCTATTCATCTCTCTTGCTGGAGGTGGGATCCTTTGGCTCAGGAGCCACATGTAACTGGGTTGCTGATCTGTCAATCAGAGTGAGTGAGATACAGAGTGAACCTCACTCACTGTGTATCCTGGACAGACCAGCTGGCGCTCCTAGTGGACAGGCTGCCCACAGCCACAGGGATGCTTACCTTCTGGACCGTGAAGGTGCGTATGACATATTCCGCCAGGGGCTCTGTTTCAATCAGGGTGACTTTAATGTCTCCATAGACCTCTGTGTCATCCGGCCAGTATCGCACACACTTTACCTGTGTGGAGGGACAGAGACAAGGACACATGAGCAGGTGGCTGAGTGTAAGCAGCCGCCTCATCTGGCTTTCCTGTTCACATAAACCCAAGGGTGACTTTGGTGGCATTTCAGTCCAAGGGGTTCTCAGCTGGCCAGGGATCAGCAGAGTGCACAGGGCCAGGCTCACTCCCAGAGCAGCTGGAGCCATCAGGGATCATGGTAGTACCTTCTTTCGCAGAGCTCCTTATAATTTTGATATCCGTTATCGAATTATAGATCTAGGTGAGATAGGTGGGAAGTGGTACCCCCACATTACAGATGAAAATAATACTCAAGTTTGGAGGGTTTGGTGGCTTGTCCAAGGTCACGTGGCCGGTTTTCTACCTTTGGCTGAATGGTATATCAGGCTGGGGCAGCTGATACCAGCATAGTAGAGATGAGAGCAAAAGGTGGGAAATAGTGAGGAGGTGAAAGTGGAAGTGGTCGGGAGAGGGACATTAGTAGTAAGAATTGGTCACTGGGGGGCTGGAAGGAGAAGGTTCTCAGCTTGGGGAGGATGGAAGGTGCTGGGCTTGAAGGGAAGACTCTGCTGCGGCTTTCTGCCTGGGCAGTGGGTACGGACGCTATGAACAAGCCATTCCCCCATTCGACTCTAAATCACACTCTGCAGGAGGAAAAAGAGATCATGGTTTTCCCCTTAAAAGAACAAAAGCATTACCATTCCGGGGGACGCCGCACGGCCTACAGTGGCATTTCCCACAGTGTGTTCCGCTGGGTGCTAATAGGTGTTAGGTAAAGAACAAGAAAACAAAAAACAAACAAAAAAGGTTTTGTGGTCAAATGAGTTTGGGAAATGCTGGATTAGACAAAATTAAACGGGCTGTTTTGCTAGAGGACTGCTCAGTGGGATTCACGTGCTACTGCTAATGTTTGGTTTGGTTCGGTTTAGTTTTTGACTCTCCGGAAGGGGCAAAGAGCACACAGCATTTCCCAAACGTATTTAACCATGGAACCCTCTTCTCACTACGCATCCTGCAGACCAGCATCCCGTGGAACCCACTTAGGGAAACGCTGGTAGGGCGCCACAGGCTTTGGAGGCAAATGGGTGAATTGCATGATTCTAACAGTCAGCAGCTGTGCAGCTTTCAGAACGTGCTAAAGGCCTCTTTGAGCCTAAGCTTCTATGAATGATGACAGGTGTACTTCTTGAGTATTCACTGTGTCTAACACTGTCTCCTATAAACTCTTTACATGTATTGTTTTAATCACTTATCACTTATAATCATGTAGATATCGTTATCCCCATTTTACAGATGAGTAATCAGAAGCACAGGGAGGCTAAGAAAATTGCCCAAGGTCAACAGTTAGGAAGGGATTGAGCCAGGATGCAAAGCCAGGGCATCTGAACAGTTACCAGAGTGCTGTCTTGTACCACTGTGAGAAGAATGAAGTTAACACACGATGGGGTCTGGTGCAGGGCTTGGCCGAGCAGGAGTCCCATCAAGAGATGGATTTCCTGTCCCCTTCCCAAATCCAAATTAGATTCCTGATCTACCCACCCAGGGAACCTGTCTCTGATGTGGAATGCGTTATAGAACGGCCTGGAATTTGCCTCTGGATTCTTAAATCTTGGTATGGCGCTTTGTCCACAGTAGCCGCAGCCTGGGCCTTAGTCCCTGGGGAGCCATCCTGGGTGGAGGCCCTGTGGGCACTCACTAGGATGAGAATCGAGAGTTGGAGACCCTGTGTGGGTCCCAGCTGGGTGACTTCAGGGTAGTTATTCCGCCCCTTTGGGTCTGTTTCCTCATCTGTAAAACTGGGAATGGAGTGGGCTCAAGGGTCGAGTCTCTACTGCACTCCTATCAGGGCAGGAGACGTCCACAACCCTTTCCTGGATTATAGTCACAGCCCAGATCTCCCTTCCCCATGATCTCGGAGGCCAGGACTCTATTTTGATGAATTATCTAGTTCTAGCCAAAGCAAAAACTTACCTGCCCACTCTTTACTTAGCCCCTAAGTAGAGAGCCCCTCTTCCTTCTAGCGTGTGTGCACCCTGCCTGTGAATCCAGCAGCCCGCCCACCCGCATGCCTCAGTTTACCAAGCAGGTGACAGCAAGCTGGGCACAGCACTTCCATGTCTAAACCCTAGGAGGAGCTGAGGACCACCCAGGAGGGCCTGGAGATAGAGCAGAGCAGCAGACCAACGTCTGAACCCTGAAGAAGGTGGTGGTTTAGAGGTCAGGGAGCAAAGGGTCGAATGCTGCTGAGTGGTCGAATAGGATGAGAAGAGAGAAGTGGCTGCTGGACTGGTCCACATGGAGGATGCGGTGGTACTGACAGCGTCACTGTGGGTGGGATGGCGGGACGGGCTACACTGATGGCGGTGGGCAGGAGAAAACCAGAGACAGGGTCTGCGTGCCGATCTTTAGAGTTTGGCAGAAAAGGAGGGGCAAGAGAATCATTGTTGTTCACCTATGGTGTATTTTTAAAAGGGAAGGTACTCAAGATGTTTGCCTGCAAACATCCAGCAGTCAGAAAGAGAATTATATTTTAAGTGACAGGGGACACGAGAGAACTCTTGAGCAGAATCCATGGGTCAAGGCTCTGGGGTTGCCTTTGAAAGGGCAATAGTCACTTCTTCCACTGTGTTGGGCTGAGCCAAAGAATCGGTCGGTATTCTACCATTTGGGTCATTGAAAAGTCACTTTTGTGGTTCGGCCTGATGATAGAGGGGAAGAATGAGATGGTTGTAGACACAAGGAGATACAAGCTTTGTGGTGTAAAGATGTGGCGGTTCACGTCTGATGGCTTACGTTTCCTTAAACTATGAGATGATGGCATCAACGTAGAGTGGGGGTGGAAGAAGGAAGTAGGGGGCTTGAAAGGATAGGACATCCCTTGAGTGTGAAACAGAAGCAAGGATTTCTCCCTCGCAGGTGGCTGCAGGGGTGAAATACTGGACAGGAGGCCCTTGGCACAATGCATGAAGAGACATGCTCAGGTGTGCAGCACCAGCATCCTCTATCCGAGTAATTGCAGGAGGGGCTTACCCTGCCCACCTCCACGAGGTTGGTGACCATGACGATGCTGGCTGAGTTCTCCTGCCAGATCATCCTCCAAAAGTCCTTTACAGTCTCCTGCATTGGACCTGCCAACAGGGAAGGAGACAACAAGGTCAAAGACCACAAGTGACAGGAGGCAGCCAGGAAGCTGTCCCTTCTGGCTGCTTGGTCCTGGCTTCATATGGGTGAGCGACAGTGAGGCTGAGGAATCCTGGTTGGGACACCCAAGTAGCTGAGCCTGGGGCCTGAGGCTTGTGAGGTCAGAGTTTGGGTAAGAAAGGCCACACTGCAAACTTGCCAGCCCCTCTCCTCCTCCCTCCCTCACCCTCCTGCTCACCCGTTCCTGCGAGCCCCTTTGCCCTGACCCATCCCCTTATCAGGACAGTAATATGGATTAATGATAGAGCTTAGGGGAGTTTTTACAAAAATTGGGCTTCAGAACCTCAATGAGACAGGAAGGAGATTGGGTAGAGAGGGCTGGAGGGTGGAGAGCTGCCAGGGGCCATGTGCTGAGAGCACAGAGAAGACACACGAGCCTCCTCCACGAGCCTGGACAGAAAAGGGGACCAGAGCAGACAAGGAAAGAGGGGAGATGGGACCTGAGGACCCGAAACAACTTCCTCAGAAAATCCTCTTTCAATATCCCGGGCCTTCATCATTTAAAAAATTACAAGAGTACTCCTATGTGTATTCAATATAAAAATTTGAATGCCATTTTCTATACATATACAGACATACATATCTGTATATGTATATATTTACTATAATAAGAGCATCATATCTACTATATGCATTTCCCATACCCTTAAAAATTCTTACCAAGCATGATATTCTTCACAGCTGCATAATTTTCCATAATAGAGAAATATTGCAAGTTAGCCAACCTTGCAATTGTTGGGTACTTAAGATTTTTCAAGGACTTCCGCCAAGATGGAGGCATAGGTGGATGTGCTGTGCCTTCTCACACAACCAAGTTTAGAGACAACTAAATATTAGCAACAGAAAACACAGCCAGAACACGGAAAATTGAACTTTTCGGAAGTCCGTTAACAACAAATTCTTCAGCCTGACCGGTAAGGGGCGAAACCAGCGGCTGGTGGAGCGGGGTTGCACAGGAAAACTCGGTCAGATGGACTCAGACGTGGAATCCAGACGTGCGGAATCCAGGCGCAGGGTTGGACCTAGTGAGCGACCGAGCGAGCGACCAGGCGAGCGACCGCAGGGAAGACAGCAGGGGAGCGGTGCTGCGTGTTGACTGTGGTCGCGCATTTGTGTGTGGGTGGACAGGCAAGGGAGTGGGCAGTTGGACCAGGCCCGGCAGGTGCCCGCGGCAAGCGGCAGTGGAGGGCGCCGCCATTTCCCTGCTCTGACCCCACCTCCACATACAGCGTCATAACCCAGCGACTCTGAGTGGCCCGGCCCAGGTGAACCAAGTAAGGCGCTAATTCCTCACCCAGCTGTGAGAAACAGCAGAGGGTGCCGCCATTTCCCCACTCTGACCATGCCCCCACATACAGCGTCACAACCCAGCGACCTGGGAGTCCAAGGCGCTGCTTCTCACACTTAAAGGGCCAGAACAGACCAAAAATGTCGCAGGAAGATCTCAAAGCCCCAGAGCCCACAGATCTAAGCGAAGAAGAAATAGCAAAACTCTCAGACGCACAGTTTAAAACACTAGTCATCAGGATCCTCACAGAACTGGTTGATTATACCCACAAATTAGACAAATATATGAAGACAAAACTAATTGAAATGAATGGAATTGCACAGGACACCAATAGCAATGAAAAGGAAACTGGGACTCAAATCAATGGAGTGGACCAGAAGAAAGCAAATAATGGCCAAACAGAAAAGAGTCAAGAAGCAAGAATTCAAAGAAATGAGGAGAGTCTTAGGAACCTCCAGGACATCTTTAAACGCTCCAACATCCAAATTGTAGGGGTACCAGAAGGGGGAAAGGCACAGCCACCAGTGGAAAACTTATTTGAACAAATAATAAAGGAGAATTTCCCCAATCTGGCAAAGGAAATAGACTTCCAGGAAATCCAGGAAGCTCAGAGAATCCCAAAGAAGTTGGACCCAAGAAGGAACACACCAAGGCACATCATCATTACATTAGCCAAGATTAAAATGAAGGAGAGAATCCTAGAAGCAGCAAGCACTAAGGGGACAGTCACCTACAAAGGAGTTCCCATCAGACTGTCAGCGGATTTCTCAAAAGAGACCTTACAGGCAAGAAGAGGCTAGAAAGAGGTATTCCAAGTCATGAAATCCAAAGACCTACAACCAAGATTGCTCTATCCAGCAAAACTTTCATTTAGAATGGAAGGACAGATAAGGTGCTTCTCAGATAAGATCAAATTCAAGGAGTTCATCATCACCAAGCCATTATTATATGAAATGTTAAAGAGACTTATCGAAGAAAAAGAAGTTAAAGAAACATGAACAGTGAAAGGACAACAAACTCACAGTTATTAGCAGCCACACCTAAAAGGAAAGCAAACTAAGAGGACAGCTAGATCAGGAGTGGAAACATAGAAATGAAGATCTCAAGGAGGGTTAGCAACAGGGGAGTGGGAGGAGGAGAAAGGGGGAGAAGGTACAGAAAATAAGTAGCATAGACAGCAGATAGAAAATAGAAGGGGGGGGGCAAGAATAGCATGGGAAATATAGAATCTAAAGGACTTGAGACACTTGGTCATAAACTAAAGGGGGGGTAATGGTGGGGATGGGGGGGTAGGGTGGAGGGGAATGAAAGGGGGAATAGAACAACTGTAACAGCATAATCAATAAAATAAAAAAGATTTTTCACCTTTTTTCCTATTATAGATAACACTGTGAAGAGTATCATTACATATGTCACTGTTCACATATATGATTATCCACAGGATTTCCTCCCAGAAGGCCTTGAGAGGTATGGCCATTGCTCGGCCTTCTGATTACACACTGCTGAGATGTTCTCTAGGACAGCTGACTACTTCTCTGGTCTGGGCACACATGCTGGGGGGGAGGGCCATCATCAGCTCCACTTCTGGGTGGTGCATTTTGGTGGCTCATGCTTGAGGCTTCTGCTTAGATGTGTCCTGCCTGACCACTTCCTCATCACACCTCCTCCCTCTCTCACTCAGGTCCCTCCCTGCTGCAGCTGAACTTGTCGCCTCCTTCCTTCCAAAACAATCCAATGAGCAATCTCAAGACCTCCGGAGGCACTCCAGCCAGACTCCTACACCACTTCTCTGCTGGGAGAAGCTCACTCCTCTTTTCAGTGAAGGGCAAGGGCCCTTTAGCGGGAGAGGAGGACACTTACCTTGAGTTGCAATGTAGTGCCGAGGTCGATGGTATCCCTGGATAACAGAGAAAAGCATGGTGAAGGGCCTCTCGTCAACGCTTGCAAAAGTCATATCAATGATTATCCTTTCTAAGACATGGCTTCCTCATAGGCAAAATGGGGGTAACAGGAGACATGTCTCAGGGAAGTGTTAAAGATTAAATAAGATAATGCATATAATGTGCTTAGTAAATCACTAGATGTTAGCTATCACTGTATCAGTATAGTTGGAAGGTGCCCATATGGGCTTGCCTGGGAGCCAGTGGACAGGGAGCAAAAACTGGGTGGGCATCACTTATGTCCACATACCCAGAAAGAGGCAGAAAAGACATTTTGGGGTTTCTGTGGGGCATCAACCACCAGAAATTCACTCCTGAGCCGTGATTACATGCAGACCACTGCACGAGGCTCTGTGGGGGGCCCGACAGAAGAAAATGATTGCATCATTCGCTCCTTGCATTAGTGACAACTAGGAAAAGAGCTTCGGGACAGATGCTCTGATGCCTCTCTGTGCAACATGGCTGGTCTTGGAGCTGATGTCCTAGTCATCAGAGAGGACCCCGCATAGGGTGTGACCTCAAGACTGATAAAGCCACTTTCTGATTCCGAGAATCAGCCAGCTTCTGGTTTCCCTGTACATCCCAGAGCATTCCAGCAGGCCCTCCTGTGCTCTGGCGTGGGGTCACTCTGATGTCCCATAATCCTGATAGTTGGGGAAGAGGCTGAAGATGACCCTCTTCTGCCCTGGACATGGTGCACATGGAGGGCCCCCTTTTTTATTATAGAGAGGAAGTGTGTCATACTGGGGACAAGTTCATGTTTTGGAGCCAGGTCTGCATTCAGTATGTAACATTGAATGTAATTAGCAATCTTGGAATGAATAAATGAGTGAATGAAAAAAAATTAAAGAATATGGATGCCAGTTAGGGAGCCTGCTGGTGGAGAGGTTGTGGATGGTTAACCCTTAGGGTTCACCATCTCGGGACAGAATGAGTCCTGCAGTTGATGAACACCTTTTCTATCTCAAGCATTGCTGACGAGTCCTTCTTCCCCATTGGGCTGGATGAGCTGCCTGAAGGCCCCCTTCTTCAGGAACTGGGTCAGACTTGCCATCTGTATGGTTAATGGTGAAACAGACGTGGCATCTTTGAAGTCCTGGACCTGCTTTCTGATTCAAAGCCTAGTTTCTGGGTGCTCTGCATTTCTCTACCTGTCTTCCACTGGTTCCATAAATATTTACTGGTACCTGCCAGTTTCTGGTCGTGCTTGCGCTGATTGTCAGTGCTGACCCAAGGCCAATGTCATGACCAGAACTGTTGGACTAAGCACTAGAAATCAGCAGCCCCACCTAAACTCGTTGTTTGCACGGTTCTAGCTTCCTAGTGAGGTTGTCAGCTTCTTGAGGATAACCTCTGCCTCTTAAGTTTTAACAAAATTTTACATAGAGCCCAGTACAGTGTGAAACATCATCACTTCCCACAGTCCTCGTCCTCCCTGATGCAGGCCATGGCACCAGCCTCTTACTGGCCTCCGTTTCTGGTCCTGTCCCAAAGTCCATCTGCTTCCTGCCAGAGTGAACTTCCCAAGCACATCTGATTCCATCACCTCCCCACCTAAAAGCTGTAATGGCTCCCCACTGGCTGCAGAGTGATGTCCGAATACCTTAGCTAGGGATTAATAATCTGTCTCCACCCTCGTCCCCAGCCTCATTTCCAGTTGTCCCTCTCTGTCCCCTTTCACAGTCTCCTGAGCCTTTGTGTCCCAGCTTCCCACACTGCACTTCAAACGAGACCTCCCTTCTCCTGAGTGGCCCTGCAGGGCTGTGTGGTAGTACATTTACAATATGTGCTGTGCTGCATTTTTTGTGCTTTTCACCCTCTGGTCCAAGGGACAGGTCGCCCAGATCCAGGTGTCATTTCCAGCAAAGGCTGGTTGGTGGCAGACATGCATGAATATGTCTTTGAGGTGAGGTTGGGTCACTCCCTAAGGCACAAGTTAGAAGACAAAGACCCTCTGGAGCAAACTGATCTGGAAGATTCTAAGTGCTTGAAGGTCAATGGGACTGAATTCTGAGCAAGAAATTCACATTTCAACTGTGGGGTCAGACGATTTGGCCTCACTAGTTAGCCCATTCACTTGTTCTCTCAGTCATTCAACATTCAATGAGCAGGTGTTAGTGCACACCTACTACTATGTCCAAGGCCCTGGAAATGCCAAAGCGGACCAGATGGATGTGGGCTCTGCTCCTAAGCAGCTTACAGGCATCAACAACTGGAGCCTGTAACAGGGAAGGGGTGGGGCTCTGTGGAGTTCCCGTGGGCACTGACTCACCCAGAAGGCCAGAGGTGTATTCTCTGACGTGGTGGCTGTTCCATCGGCCCCACGAGCCAACCTTCAGCATCTTGGCATCGCTCATTCCCATTTCATCCCTTCAGCACTTGTCTCTTCTCCCACCACCCTCCCCATGACTCTCCAGCTGTCTTGCTGGTCTTCAGAAACAATCACATTTCCAGCTAGAGGCCTTGGCAATGGCCACTCCTGGTGCCTGCGCATTCTGTCCCCACACAACTTCGTGGTTTAGTAACTACGAAGGTTGTGAGGTGACTAACTGGGTGTTAGCTCCCCAGAGAATCCTTCTATGACCACCCTATCAGGCTGAACAAAACTCTCTTCCAGCTCGTGCCTATTTCCATGCTGCATCCAAGTAAGAGACACTGTCTGGCCTCCCAGAACCCAAGCAGTCTCCAAAGACAAAGCATTCTAACCACGAGCAAGACTCCTCAGCAGTGTCGATAATAGGAAATGAACTTCTCAATTGGGGCTCCCCCAGGGATTTGCTATGGGCTGGTACAGAAAACTTTCTAACCTTAAAAGAACTCAGTTCATTTAAGCCCCACCTGTACGGCACGCAGATGGACTGCCAACCAGCCCCGGGCCTGCCTGCATCTGTCTGCAAACAATGGGAAGGAGGTGTGCATCCAAAATGCATTTGTCTCACTCTGCACGCATGCATCTGTTACTTACTGGGGACCCAGATATGATATTTATTTCTAGACCGGTCATTTATAACAGATTTAAGTGGCCAATATGTTCTCGGGTGCACAAACCCACCAGTGGATGGCTCAGGCGGTGGCAGAACCATGGCCTCTGGAGGCACAGAGCGAGCTGGCTCCATTCAGCTCATTATCCAAATGGAGTCGTTTTAATGGATCGTCAAGCTCTAGCTAGAGATAAATGATTCTAGTTCGGGCAGTAAGGTCTTTAGAAAGCTGGGAAGACTTCGGATGGGGTGGAGACCAGGACAAGGGGGTGAGGACTACTAGGTAGCTATCTAGAGTATTCTAGCCAGGAATACCCATAGTTGGATCACAATGAATGGGATTCTCCCACTCTCTGGCCCGTGTTGGTAGCACTGCTGGGAGGCGCTTGTGCTTCGTGTCTTCTCTGTCCCTCCATGTCCCCTTTCTGTCCTCGCATGCTCTGCTCTGTGCCGTGGGGGGGTTGACCTGCATGGACCACACGATTGGCTTCTATGACTTCTGTGTAGATTTGTGTTTGGTCACTGAAGAGCAGAGAGAAACTCAGGGGCCACGAAGAGCTAGGAGTGTATGTTCTTTTAGTTGCTCTCCCTACCAGGTCCCCATGGGCTGGCCTTGACTCTCTATCAAATGCTACAGCTCCTGTCAGGGGGCCCTCTCCTTACAGCTACTCTCTCCCCTCTGTAGGCCTGGAGCAGCACCCCATGGTTGCTCACCTCGGGGACACTGCACCGCACCTGCTGCTTTCCCTCAATCCTGTTCCACCCTTATTCACCTCTGCTGGGTTAATCCATCTGAATGACCCTCTGTTTCCCAGTGGGACCCTGAGAGACAGACACTTTACATCAGGTGCCACATGCCTGTGGGGTGGCATTATCCTCTCATTTTACAGATATCAGAACAAGTAAATAACTTACCCAAGATCGTCAAGCTAGTAAGCAGAACTGGCCAGAATCCAGAGGCCCTATAAGGGCTCAATTCATCATTTTGGTCTTGTGAGCCCTTGACTTTAACCATGGAGACCCAGCACAGAGCCCAGCATCACATATTAGGACAGCACCTTGCAGAGGCTATCTGGCCGGTCTGCACAATCTGCTCCTTACAGAGAGAGGGAGCAGCTTGTGGTGGGCAGAGAACTGAATCTAGCTGTGTGACCTGGAGCAAGGCTCTTCACCTTGACCTCTGGCTGCTTTAAGGATTGGCTTGCAGAATGCAGTGGGTAGGACCACTACCTGGTAGGACCGGGTAGAAATGGGAGGTGTTACTAGCATCGATGCTACAGAGATTCACTTGCAATCACAGCCATTTCATTTGTTGCCCATAATATACCAAAGCGCATTTGGGCTCTGACTGCAGTCAGATGCTCACTCAATTTTGGACTCAGTGTTTATCTAGAAAAATGATTTTTGCTGGAGGTTACCACTCAGATGACAAATGCTAGATATTGCAACTCGGGCCAGCAGACCCCATGTGGGCCGTGGCCCTCAAGGCTACCACATCCATTCCACTGCAGACAAGGTCAAGGGGAAATGGAAGAAGCCCACTCAGTCTGGGTCAGCACAGGCAGGAGGGACTCCAGTCCAGGGAGCCATTTGGGCCTGGTTCCTTGCCTGGTTTTGCCACTGACCAGCTGCCTTGCCTGAGACAAGCTTTGTAATCTCAGCTTCTCCATCTGGTAAGTGGGGACGATGGCCTACCTGGGAGGGTTACTGTCTCTTGAAGTGGACTCATTTAAAACTGCCCATCACAGGGCTCAAGAGTGACTCATTTAGAGTCACTGGCTCTTGCTGTTGCTTTGCCATTATTATTAAAGCCCATAGGGCTTGGTGTGGGAGGCAGCCCTGGTTCAGACTCCTGCTCCCTACTCCCTCACCTCCTAGCAATGTGATCCTGGATAAGTTATGTGACCTGAGAAGCCTGTTTCTTCACCTGGAAATGGGTAGTAACAGCACTTACTTTGTGAGGTTGTGGTACTAGTTAAGGTAATATTAACTAGTAAGGTTATTAACTAGTTAAGGTAATGCTGATATACAAGAGGTGATACTTCCTGGGTTGCTATCAATCCTTCTTGCCTGGCTGACTCTTGCTGATGAAGGCAGCACTCTGTCACCTCCTCCAGGAAGGCTTCCCTGACCTCAAGGCTTTGACTTTTCCTTCAGACCCTGCTCCGTGAGGGTTTCCTTTCAGATCTGACTCCCTCATTGGACTTGAGTCCCTTCTAGGTCTACATTCCAGCATCCTAATCCTAGACTCTCCTCCTGCCGATCTCTCTGTCGTTCCTGGTGATAGGTAAGTCATCCCAAAGCTTAGCTCTGCACTGGTCACCTTCTCAATCAAACCTTTTGATAGCTTTTTCGTGCTTACAGGATAAAGTCTGACTTCCTAAGTCTGATCACAGACTGCCCGTGATCTAGCTCCAACCCTACCTTCCACCATTCCCATTACGTAGTCACTGCTCCCTGCAGCCTGAGCCGCTGCCTATCGTTGCTTCCAGCTGCTACGTCTTGGCCGTGCTGTTCCCTCTAACCAGAGGCCCACCTTCCCTGCTCCGGTTTTCAATTCTGCCTGTGCTTGAGGCTTTGGTTCACATCCCATTTTGCATTCCTGATGGAACAGGCAATGTTTTTCTCCTATCTCTGAACCCCTGCAGCATTTTATCTGAATGTACGACTCTTACCACGTTCTAGTTTGTCCTGTGATTGTTGCTGGGCACAGCTTATCTTCCTGCTAAGGATTTAGGGGGTAGGGCCATGGCATTTTTAGCTTTATGGCTCCCAAAGCATCTGCTACACAGGAGGCCCTTTTAAATTTGCGTTTCTTAAATGGCTATACCTTCAAATGAATGAATGACTGGATAAACAGACACATATATGAATGCATCAGTGGGTGAATAAACAAGACTGGCAGTTGTTCTGGGCCCCGCAGAGCAGGCTGCTCTCGATGGATAAAGACCTTGGGCAGCACTAATTACACAAACCAGGGAGGAGCCCTCGGCTCTGGCCATGTTCTGGGAAGGCTCCCTTCTGGGAGACAGTCAGAGGAATGGCCACAGATTTTTGAGCCTGCCATAGCCCACCCCAGACCCCAGTGGCCCAGCCCCCCCCAAAGACCCTCACATCAATGTAGTTGGCGTTGATGTAGTCGGAGTGCGGGTCCCCATCCAACACCAGCAGCCTCACCCGGGAATGGTCGTCTGCGGAGAGAGAGAGAGAGAACAGCCCTGCCCTCTGTTAGAGCCGCCATTGGTTATTTACCACGCACACAGCACCACACCCTCTCACTTAACCCCTCCCGCTCCCCATGACGCAGTCCACAGTTACTACCCCCATTTACAGATGAGGAAGCTGAGGCCCAGGGAGATCCCAGTGCCCTAAAAAGGACCCTCATCCTCTTTTTTCTACCTGCCCCTCGATTCTGGCTTTGTCTTTGCCTACCTGGGTGAGTCTCAGTGATTACCGTGGGGATGGAAATACCTTCTCCATAGGACAATGCAAGAGCTACTACATGAACACACTGGGGAAGCGAGAGGTGTTGGATCAGGATTAATAAGTTCCATTTTCATGCTTGTTTAAAAACGGCAAATTTACCTATTTTCCACATGGGCACAAATTGCTTTCCTTTTGCCTGTTGGAGTATTGCCGTGAGTAGATTGTCGGCCACATATTGTTATCAATACTATCATTCAAGCGGAGCTGACTAAATCATTATAAAAGAGGTCATCAATAACTAAAAATTGTGTTACGGAGAATACCATTCCAAACACAATCTAGGCATAAACAAGATTTGCAGGCTTCGGTCGATGGCAGGCTGACTTCCAATAACACCAAATAACAACCATTAAAAAAAAACTAGTACAGCAGAAGAATCAGCCTAATCCTTTACGATTAATTAAAACGAGTGCCGATGCATAAATAGACACAGGCAATCAGTGCTCCCGAGCTGGATCTGGTTGGGAGGAGGGGCTCAGCTGGCTGTCCAGGTCACTGTGCCTATCTCTGGCCAGTGCACCTTAAGCTAGGGCAGGGCTGGGGCTCCAAGCAAGTGGAATGGAGAGCTCTGAGCATCCCCAAGGGTCCCTGGGGGTCAAGGCCATGTCAGCTTATTCTGTTAGACTTATAGAGCACTTTGCAGTTTACAAGCACATTTACTATTGCGAACTGGAACCTGCTGAGAACAGGGACGCTGACTGTGTTGTTCCCTCTTCTATCCTCTGCACCTCCGTGTGTGGCAGGCACGTAGAGGTACTTGGTGAATGAATGAATGGATGGCCCCACTGGGCTCTCACAATGGTCCTGGGAGAGATGCAGGATGGGTGCTGTTAGTCCTTGTTACAAATAAGGACACCGAGGCTCATAGGGACTGACTGGCCATGGCCAGTGGATGGTAGAACAGTGGATGGTAGGTCCTCTTAACGCTGGGTCCAGACACTCTGGCTTCCAAAGAGGGGTCTAAGTGGGTATTAGAAACCACTTCAGGTGTCCACAGCAGGAGGAGTTAACGACAGAGAAGTGGTTCGCTGGGTGACGGTGGGGCTGAGAAGCCAAGCAGAAGAGGGTGAAGCAACTCAGAGATAAGCATCATATCTCCTTAGAAACAGCCTCCCCATGGATGGTGGGATAGAGGGAGGAGGTAGAGGAACCAGAACATGGTGGGTGGGGAAGTGGAGCTGTTGCAGGAAGCTTCTTTGGCGGAAGGTGGAGAAAAGGAGCCTGTGGTTGGGACAGAGAGGGAGAAATACTCCCTCCTCTCCTTTTCTCCTGCCTCCCAATCTCCCACTGGTGTGTGTCTCTGACCAAAACCAGACAGAAGTCAGCTGCTGAGAGACTGAGAAAGGCAACCTGTGGGGGTCAGTTCCCGATGAGGAGAAGACAAGGAATGGGTCCCAGGATAAACAGACAGTTCCAGGACTGGACAGCACACCATTCTGTATCTATGAATTAACTTGTTAATTAAAAAATGACTCATTGAGCACCTGCCATGTACCCCACACCACTGGATGCTGATCCACTGGATGCCACATTTCCTTCACTCATGACAGGGAAGAGTTTCAGTGGAAGCAACCAAGAGAGCAGGGGGGAGGTCTGAGTCATCCATTTGGATGGGTGGGGAGTCTGAAGGTAACCTTTACAGTTCACGAAAAGTACCAGAAAGTTTACATAACTCGATCTTACTGCATCATTTACTCCCCCAAATAACTCTATAGATTATTATATTAATAGCATAATGATTTCTTCTTCTTCTTCCTCCTCCTCCCACTTCTTCACAGATGTAAAACTGGGGCTCAGGGAGGTTAAGCGAGTTCCGCCTGTCACACAGCCTGCAAATAGCAGGGCTAGATTCTGTTTCAAGTCCATCTGACGCTGGACCCCTGTTTCATTCACACATGGGCTGCCCCTGTGTGGACTTCTCACATCTCATGGGTTCTGCTCCCGGAGCTCCTGCAGGACTCTAGTCCCAGAGAGTGGACTTCCTGGAAGACACCCCACCCAGCAGGGGCTCGCATAAGGGCCAGCATCTTACTCTGAGCTCTGGCCATTAAGCTTTGTCACCAGAGGTTACAAAAACTGTGAGTATTAGACAAGTGAAAATGCATATTGTGTTTTCATTCATCGGTTTCACTAATGACTTATTGATTCAAAAAGCTGCTTTGTTTATTGAGTTATGCCTCCTCCAGGGATCTATAGCACTGGGGACGGAGATTCTGGGGCAAAATGTTGAAAAGTAATTTACTTTAATATACAATGGAATTTAAACTCTGAAAGCACAAATTATTAAAAAACAAACAAAAGGAAGCAAACCTTTCTTTTAGTTCAATATTCTTAAAGACAGAAGGAGCCTCTAAGCATCAGATGATGGTGTTTGCCAGTCTGTCCTCTTCATTCATTTATTAAGAACCATTTCCTGAGCACCTACTACGTGCAGGCTTGTTGAAGGATTAAGGAAGTGTCACCAAAGTGATACTCAAGTTTAAGGAGTTTGTCAGTGTTGTTGGGGGAGAGACAGACAGCATGTAGAAAGGGAACTTCAAGGTCTAAAAGCAGAGCATAGAGGGCTTTGTGGGATGACACGTAAATAAGGGATTAAAGGTAAGTTTGACCAGTGGACAATAAGGAAGGTATTTCCAACACAGGGAACTGCAAGAATGAAGGCAGAGATCCTGAGAGAGCAAGCACGTTTGGAACTGGGAAGTTTCCTGTCTTGTAAATGTGGAGTGCGAAGGGGTTATCAATGGGAGGAGAGGCAGACGAGGTGGGCGGGGCCAACTTACAGAGCGCTCTCCATGCCGTGTGATGTCAGTAACCATCCCCAGGTCTGCAAGACGTCCGCACAGGGACTCTACTTTCTGAGATGGTGCGGGGCTATTTTCATACAAAATGACCAAGATTCGTTCCTACCTGATTTCACTTGTGGCAAGTAAGATACACTGGGGCCGTGAGGTATGGAGATAAGGCTCAGCTCTGGGTTCAAATCTTACTTCCATCATGTAAGAAGTCAGTTGATCTCTCTTAGCCTTGGGTTCTTAGCAACATGGGGCCAATACTATGTAGCTCACAGAACACTGGGAGGGTTAAATGAGGAACTTCGGGCATGAGAAGTGGGAGAACAGTCAGAATGTGAACAGACAAGGCACAGACTGGGAGAAAATACTTGTAAAAGACATCTAATAAAGGACTTGTATCCACAATGTACAAAAAGACTCTTAAAACTTGATGATAAGACAAATAACTCAATTAAGAAGTGGGTAAAAGATCTGAACAGAGACCTCACCAAAAAAAGATATGCATGTGGGAAATAATCATATAAAAAGATGTTCAACATCATATTTCATTAGGGAATTGCTGAGACACCTCTACACACCCTGGAATGGCCCAAGTCCAGGACACTCACAGCACCCAATACTGGAGAGGATGTGCAGGAATAGGAACTTTCGATCACTGCTGGTGGGAAAGCAAAGTGGTGCAGCCACTTTGGAAGACAGTTTCCTCCCCAACTCAACATATTCTTACATGATCCAGCCATTGCTCGATCTGGTATTTACCCAAAGAAGCTGAAAACTTATGTCCACACAAGAACCCGTGCATACGTAACAGCTTCATCCACAATTGCCACAACCAAGATGTCCTTCAACAGGTGAATGGATACACAAATTGGGGTATATCCACACAATGGAATGTTACTCAATGATATAAAGAAGTGAGGCATCAGGCCATGAAAAGACACAGAGGCAAGTTAAACGCACACTGTTCAGTGAACAACGCCCATGTGAAAGGCTCCAGAGTGTATAAACCTAACTGCATGGCATTCCGGAAAAGGCAAAACTATGGAGACTGTAGAAACATCGGAGGTTGCCAGGGACTTGGGGGGAGGGAGGGATAGACAGAGCACAGGGGGGTTTTAGGCCAGTGAAACTCTTCTGTGTGATACTGTAACGGTGAGCACACATCATCATACCTTTGTAAACACCAAGGAACGGTCCAACACAAAGACTGAACTCTACAAAGTATGGACTTCAGTAAATACTAATGGACCAATATTGGTTCATCAACTGTAACAAATGGGTCACAAGATTCAAGATGTTCCTAACAGGGGAAACTGGATGTGGGAGAGAGGGAGGGAGGGAGAATGTGGGGTCTCTGCATTCTGTTCAATTTTTCTGTAAATCTAAAACTGCTCTAAAAAGCATTAGGACAGTGCTGGGTACACAGCAGGTGCTTAATAAATGACAGTTGTCGGCTGGATGGGTGGCAGGTCATACGCTGATGGCAGAGAACTTAGTAACTCGGTGGTCCCCATTTGCTCTTTGTCCCAAAGGTAAATTGGCCTTTGTGCAGAGGCAAAGAGCTACATGTGTACTCGGGAAAGAGAAGAACACAGCACATAGGTCTGCAGGAAGGCATTGCAAGGAGTAGCAGCGTCCTCATGGTTTATTTATTCTTTCAGGGAGACACTAATATTATTCTGTGCCCCCTTCCTCATCTAACTTTATATAATTAGAAGGATAAAAAATCGTGTTTATCCACACGCTCATGGAAAGAGGTGGGGCAGCGGGCAGCGTGGAGGAGTGCATCCAAGGTAATTTACAAGCAGCCCAGAACATTCATTATGCTCTATCTACATTTTGCAAGCTTGAAAAACAGCTTAAGTTGGTGCTCCTTGTTTGATATTCAAGACAAGAAGAATTGAGAGGAGTCA